AGTGTTGAATGTCAACTATTCTATAACACACAGTCATTCAAATTTTTATCAACAAAAACATAAAAGAAATAATGAATTGGAAACTTTTCTTTTTTTTGAAATCAACCAGACAACCAGATAAAAAGAGATTTAAGTAAACTTCCGTTGATGCCTTCTTAATTTGTTGTTTGTATTGTGAGAATAAATAAAGATAGTGATAAAAATTTAATGAAGAGGATTACATTGAAGTAAGAATTGTGTAAATATTGTTTGTTTGTCTTTTTTTAAATCATAAGGATTGATTTGTAAATTATTATAAGATTATTCATTTTTGGCAACAAACAATGAAAAAATTAAAAACGAAAATGATTTCTTTCAATTAATTTAAATTATCAGGAAAAAAAATAAACATCCAAACATACAAATACAATGGTCAAATTAACCAAATGAAAAGAATGGCATAAAGTTTGATGACCCTTATGGACAACAAATCATCAACAACAACCACGACCACATTACCTGATTTTGATCATCATACCACAACGAAATTATTATTTTATTTCATTTTTTCATTTCATTTCCAATTTTGTCTTCGAGTTTTTTTTAGTTATTTTATAATGATAATTATTATTATACACAACAACTAACAAAGATGGAAAATGAGAATTTGAAAGAAAGAATGAAAAAATAGTTTATACCTCCTCTCCATACAATGATGAAATAAATAAATAAAAAACAACGATCGGGCGACATACATACATACATATAGAGTGAAAAAAACAAGATATTTTTTCTGTTCTTTTCTTTTTTTAGACTAGCCATCCTAGAGTCGACCGAGGTCATCCCGTGTGAAGAAAGGTTCGAAGGGAAAAACATCATCATCATTCATTCATTCATTCTGCTATTCTTCCATCATCATCATTATTATTATCATTGGATGGTCTTCATAAAATATGGCGACTAAAGATATATATAAAATTTTTTGGGGTAGACAACGATGTCGGCGATTGCAAGTAGTGATTGTCAAACAAGATTTTGTTGTTATTATTATTATTATTGTTGAATAACTTACATATATACAAAAGACATTTTGGACATCTTTCATTCTGTTTTTTTTTCTGTTGTTGTTGTTGTTTTTATGATATGGTTGAATGAATCTTAGGTAACAAATGTGAATAAATAAGTATATGTATGGTAGTGAGATGGAGAGAGAAGAGGGTAGTGTAAAAAAAACTAAGTGTCTATGGCCAGGTAAATAAATCAAGAATAGACACAGAATAGATTTTTTTTTGTTTCTTGAAGCAAAATGAAAAAAAAAATCAACTTCAAGTTTATCGATGGGAAAGAATCTTGAATATAATCATCAATTTTTTTAAAAAAATAAATATGAAAAGACATATATTTGTGACAGAATGTTTTCCATCATTTTATTTCTCATCATCACACAGACATCAAACTATGTGACATATCCATTTTATTGAGAAACAAGAAGAAACCACAAAAATTTTACAAATAATGATCATATTTTCATCAAAAATAATCATCATCACAGGTTATAATCATTAGATAATATATATGAATTCATGCATGCATACACACTTATAATCATTTTTATTTATAATTCTAATCGAAAAGTGAAAATTTACAAGATTACAAGATTTTTTTTTTGCGCAAAATTATGAAAACTTTCCGATAAAGATGTGATCAAGCCTCGAGGCTTTTCATGCACACACACACACACACCTGTTGAATTGATAATGATGAGAGATGAAATATACCACTCTTTCTTTCGTTCAGAAATAGAACAGGAAAAAAAACTAAACTCAATTTAATTCTTGTCCTTATTATTTTTCCAAGCTACTTTTTTTTTGTTGTTGTTGTTGTTGGTAAAACTTTGGACTTAATTTTCATCTATTTTGTTTGAATGGAATGAATGAATGAAATCTCAGTCTCATTCACTCATCATGACATAATAACATTTAGCCTAATTGTTTTGTTTTTTTGGTTTTTTTCAGAATGAAATTGAGGAGACAAATACTATGTGTGTGTGTAGTCGTGTGAATAAAAACACTAGTGATGACGTCAAAAAAAATGAGAGGGAGAAAGAGAAAAAGTCATTTCCGCTCGTTTGTCAAAAATTCAGAGAAAAAATTGAAGCCAAATAAAAAAAACGCGGATGATATTTGATTCATTCAATGAAATGATTTTTCGTTCGTATGTTTGTATGGCGGCAACCAAAACGATATTTAAGAAATGAATAAAAATCGAAAAGAAAATGAAAATGATCATTGAAACAAATAAGGCAAAAAAGGACTGATCTTTCAGAGATTTATAGTGGAATATAAGAAGCAGAAACAAAGCGAAAAAAATTCATTTGCGTGGACTATCTTTTTTGTTTGACGGGGATAGCTTGATGAATGAAAAAAAAGAGAAATTCAGAAGAGAAAAATATATATTCACATTTGCCAAGGACAACGATTTTCACTATAAATGTTAAAAAACAATTATCGCCTAGTTTCTTAATAATATTTTTTTTTCTCGATATTTCTTATTTGAAAATTATGTGTACTTGTCACTAGCACACATGCATACATATCAAAACACATATGGAACTATTGGATTTAACATCCTATTATCCAACACACACACAACGTCAACGTTGTTTAATGTTTGTTCCATTCATTTTTTTTAATCAATAACATAAACATACGCACAAACATATGCAAACATTATTATTGACCACAGATAGAGTAGAAGAAAAAAAAATGACAAATCCAAATCGTTGACGAATGACACCTACGCACAACAACAAAAAAAAAATCAACATCAACATAATAAAATCCAATCGAAGATTCAAAATAATTAATCAAGGATTATTATTATGAATTGAAAAAAATTATATATGTTTAAATCTATTTTTAATTCTAAAATTCTGATTCTGCACCGAAATATTTTGCTGATTACAATTGAAAAGTACAAACATCCAACATTAACAGGTTTTTTTTAAAAAAAAAACATTTTCTCATCATCATCATAATCTTATTTCGCAAATATTAAATTATGGAAAAAATAAATAAACTAAAATGATGGACCTAAAACATATGTGAATGACAGAATGAAATGAATAAAAATGCAAAATTTTGTTTTTCATTTCGTGGTTTGTTTTTAAGACTAAAAAAAAATTTGCAAACAAAATGCAATGAATCTCGAAGAAGCCCTTTGCAAATGATTACGACAATGATGATGGTGCCATGGCTGGATGGATAGCCATATTTACTTGACCTGCCTTCATTTTTTTTCTTTGATTCACATTTCATTCACTAGCTTTTTTACCAGTTTCAATGATGATGATGATCATCATCATCGTGGTCTTGGTCGTTGTAGTTTTAGTCGTCGTCACACATGCACAAATCATCAAGAGATTTTTGCATGGGTCGTACTTTCGACGTTTTTTTTTCATTCGTGGAGATATTTTCTTTTCCTTTTTTTTCTTTATTTCTATGGAATGAAAAAATTAAAAAGGAAAAAAAGGAAAGAAAGCAGAAAAATCTTGCCGAACGATCAAAGGAACCAAAGTAACTTTTACTAAAAACCATATAGGTAGCTGATATACTACTACTACTATTACTAGGGCCATTTTTTCCCCTATTCAATTCATTCATTCATTGAAAAAAATTTCAAAATACAATTCACGATTCACATTCATTCATTCATTCATTCATTTCCAATTCAATCTATAATGATAATCTACCATTCAATTGATCGAATATATTGAGTGAACGAAAATAATGAAAAACATACACATGGAAATAAACTTTCAATGAAGAAAATTTGAAGGGAAATGAAACGAATAGAAAAAAATACGTACCCTAGCTATATAAAATGTTATACCTAGAAAATCATTGTTAGTAATAATCATAATAATGATGATGATGATGATGATGATGGTTATACCTTGTACAATTTGACCTATGTGACACCACACACACTGAAAGATATTGAGAAAGGAAAGACTCTTTCCGAAGATCGAAAAAAAAGACGTGATCGAACAATGATCGACTTTCAAGTAAAAAAATAAAAAGTTAGGTTGGTTAGGTAATAATATGATGAATATAAAATCAATCCATTTCTCTCCTGTTTTCTTTTCTTTTTAAACATCCATGTCATAGTGATGACCGATTTGATTCGAACATAAAAATCCAAAAAAAAGAATGCCAAAAAAAACTCATTGGTGTCACCTTTTTATTTTAAAAAAATATACATTTGATCATCATCACTACTGAAATAACAACTATTTTACTACCGATAACCAATTGATTAGCTTGAAGTTTTTTATATTTATTTTTTTAAATTTTATTCGATGCATATACGTGTTCCCAATAAAAGATTTGAATGTTGTTGTTGTTGCTATTAATGAATGAATGAATATGATCACCGGTATTCAATACCTACCAATATCCGACTCCTTGATCACACACATGCACACCAAAAAAAATAATAATCGTGACTGCCGAATGAAATTTTTCTACAATAATCTCTAGTTTTTCATTAAATAGCTAAAACATTTAACAAGCATCACATTAATACAATCATTCAATAAGACATTCAAACAAAACAAAAAAGAGAAAATTCAATTCATTTATTTTCAAGTTAAATAGAATAAAAATCTTTTAAAAATGATAGGCAATTAAATGGGTAATAAGAATGAATGACCGTCGACGACTATTCGATGGTCGATGGCTATCTACAAGGCCAAAGAACTCGAACTCGATTGAACAGGTAGAAAAAAAACAACAAAGATTATACAATTTTTCATTCACAAGATATGTTTACTACGACAAACAAAAACAAAAAAGAACAAGATTGTTTTTCACAGATATAAACAACATCAATTTCACACATTTAAAATTCGAAATTGGTAGATAAAATTTTAACAAGATTGAAATGAAAATATTTGATTTTTGGATGGTGTGAAATTAAGAGATATAGAAAGAGAGACAAATAATTTTTGTTCAACTTACCTCGTTCTTCAATGACCGCTTCGATTAATGTGATTGTTGCGGTGAATAAAATAATCAACAAACATGTTGTAATTGATTTATGAGAAAAGTTTTGTTTGCTACACAATTTTGATGACATTATCGTTTGTTGATGATGATCATTGTAACATTTTTCAAAATTAGGACGATAATGACGAAAATCCATCGTTTCCGTTCGTCGTTTCATATTGAAATCATTCATAATGGTCCGCATTTGTTTACACAGACACAAATATAAACAAACATAAAGGAAAATTTTTTCATAATTTATTTTGGAACAGTCATTGAAACCAAAAAAATACACATAAAAATCTTAATAAAATCGATCAACTATTGAAAATGAATCAATTCCAAGTGATTATAGATTAAACAAATGCTAGATTGAACTAGAAAGAGAATTCGTTGATAAATAATCAAAGAATATGCTTGAATAAAGAAAAATTTGGATCCGATGTAAATGGTTCAATGATCAAACGTCGACTGGCGAGGTTCATCATTTCAAGTTGCCAAGCAAGCTCCTCTCTTCAAATCTGAAGATGACGACTACGGCGGCTGCGACGATAGCATTACAATTGCCAAGGCGGTGCTTAACAATTCCCTATACTTGTTGCTGGCCATTGTGTGCGTACGATTTCTATTTCGACAATTTTACGAAAATAAAAAAAATCTTTTCATTATGATGATGAAATTGATAATAATGGAAATAAGAATTTCGATCCTATTTTGAGTTTGAACGAACCAAATAATTCAAATTTTCAAGAATTTAATCGAATGCACTCGAACATTCGAAAGCCAAAATGCTTAGATTTTTAGCATTTATTTTTCAAATCAATCTTTCGCGGGATAATATTTTTGAAAAAAATAGACAAATAGGTCGATATAGTCGTCTGAAATGAACATCTGATTCTGTATGTTCGATTCATCGAACAAATGTTCTGATTCAATTTTATTTTTGATTCATCGATTCATCATGTCTTTAATTTTTGGAAATCAATCAGATTTTAACCTGGACACACATTCCGTGTTGACTGAGTTAGATCGTAGTCTTCATTCATCATCGATTGGGGATCAATGTGAGGGAATCGTCAAAGTTCCATCATTGTTTGAACGTTATCCGTTCCCCATTCTAATCAACGCTGCATCGTTAAAATTGTCTGAACTTTTTCAAGAAGGCAGTAACTTTTTGCGGATATTAATTCTACAAGTTTTCAAAGAAAGTGAAAAACATTTGGACAAGATATTAAATATTGATGAATTTGTTCGGCATCTGTTCGCCGTAAGCTATTCAAATGATCCATTGGCTCGTTCGATTACATTGCAAACATTAGGCCATATTGCTCGTATCGTATGGAACAACAAAAATATCCATCATTTTATTCGTAACAGTTTAGAATCGAATGATGAACAAGAAGTTCATGCCTCCATCGAAGCCAGCGTACAGTTTGCTAAACAATCGAAAGAATTTGCCCAAAATATCTATCCTAAAGTCATCTATATGATCGAAGGTTTAACCACACCGATAGACATTAAAATCTGCTTACTCGAAGTGATCAATAATCTTCATCACAATTTTGCGATAGTCGAAGATGCACGTAACAAATTGATTTCGTTTCTTGAAAAATACCCCGAAAAAAAATTTTTATGTCAAAATCTTCATACCTTAACATCAATTGCTTCATCATCGATTACTCATATACCGGATCAAGTCGAATTGTTGCTTGAATATTATACAAATGATCCAAGAATCAGTGTCAAATTATCCGTGTTGAATGATTTAAAGAGTCTGGCTAAAGAAAGCGCCCATCTTTGGAAACCTGCAAGCATAGACAAATTTATCAATCTTATTTTTGCTAATTTGGACCTGAACAATTTCTTTTATTCATTAAATAGTATGGAGCTGAAAGAATCGCGTTTATTGTGTCGATCATTGGCAGTATTGAGCGAATTAGTGGGTTCTCCATCAGTTTTCATTGATAATTCTCTTGTTTCAATGGATCACATTGCTAAAATTGTCAACTTTGGTACACAAATCATTTACCAGTCGACTTTGCATGCTATGTTTGCCGAAAATCTACAAATATCTTTGATATCAAAATGTTTTACTATATTAACAAATATCTGTTTACATATGGATTCGAAATCTATTGATAATATCGATGTTCTTCAGGAAACCTGCTCTGCATATGAATCATATTTTCTTGGAAAATTCAGCACCGAAATCGATGATAAAACGAGCAAAGAAGCTTTGAAAGAAATATTCAAAAGTTGCGTCACATTATGTCTACGACAAGAATCAGAGCCTAGCCAAGTGCTTCAAATAACTGAAGCTTTGCGATTCATACTTTTAAAATCAAAACCTAATAGTTCCTGGTACGAGATGATTTGTGAAACTATATGTGCGTTGTCTCTAGTTATTCAGAAAAATAAAAGTCTTTCGTCAGATGATATAATCGACATGATAAAATCGAGCCAAAAATCCAAAAAGAAATCGTTTCCAAAAAATGATCGGCTTGCCATCAAATTGTTAATCATCTTTTTTCAATTGAAAAATGGTAGTGTGATAATGGAGAAAGAATCGGTCATTCTCCTCGACAGTCTATCTAAATACAATGCCTGGGTCTGTTATAAAATTGTTCGAGCAGCGATGCGTTATGGCCATCATAATTTTGCAACACAGTTATTGAACAAAATCAAACCATCCACTGAATCGATTGAACAATGCTATTTCTGGATCAATAGTTTGCTACAGATAACCGAAGCCGAGGCATCGTTAATTAATGAAGATCTTATTAGATTGAAAAGTGATGAATTTTTATCTGTCAATTACAATTGTGAACAACTTGAACATGGATTGCTCAAGTGTATTTCCACCTATACGCAAGGTCTAACAAATTTGAAAGCTTCGGTTTCGAACGTCAAGCCAATGCACTTCCAATGCGAATTTGTTCGACTTCGTTTAAAATATCTTCAAGCTCATAAACATTTTCGTCAATGTTGTCAGATGATTCAATCATCGCCATGTCCAATTTCACTCATATCGAATGGTAATCAAACTGCACAATCTACCAATTGCTGGTCGGATGATCTTCTTCGTAACGGACGAATCGTAACATCACTGCAAAAATGTTCGCAAGAATTTCGTCGCATATCGGATAGTTATAGTGCATTATATCAATCATCTTTTGATGCCGATCCAAACACACTTTCCTATATTCAACTATGTCAACACAGTTGTACTTTACTTGCCGAAGTAATTGAGAATCTATTTCAAAAAAGTCATCGCATCGATTCATTATTTCTGCGATCTACTCGGACGAATACAATTAGTCCTGTCGATCAAATTAGAACGATTAATTCTGATGATTCGACCGCTGCAAGTATAATCGAACAGAAAGAAATGGAAAATGTTTGCGCATTAATCTCTGATCTGGTGCAAAAAAATGAATTGATGAGTTTGACCAATGTTGATCAAAGTCGACGAACCAACGGTCGACAATTTTTATCTTTATTTGCTCGACAAATTGAAATGTTACTGCGAATTAGTGCTCGTATGTTGCTGGTTCCATTATCATTTCCACGTTTCTTTTTTCAAGCAATCCAATCGACCAATATTAAATTGGAATTATCATCACAACAACCACGTAACATACAAGATACAATCAACATAGGTCAAAGTGTGCAATTTGTACTTTACGTCGAAGGAGTTGTCATCACTAATCCATCAAAATTAAAATTGTCTACAACAAAAATGACACCGATGTCAATGTCAGATCATAGGCTTACAATGCAATCAATGATGAGAATGATACAAAAAGCGGACAAACAGTTGGGTGGACAAAAACGAACCAATATATTCCGTAAAGTAAACAAAATTCTTTTAACATTGAATGCAGTGCCAATAAACAACGCAAACGATATGGCACATATGTCTCCGATGCAATCGACCATTACGATGCATTCCATTGTCGTACCAGTGAATGATTATTTTCACACACAGTTTTTGTTATCATTTCCTAACATTAACCTTTACAATATTTCAGTTGAGACATCCATCATCGATGAAAATGAAGCACAATGGAAAAGTGGCCCGATTCAAACAATCACAGCCAAAGTTGTTGAAGATTATAAAGCCATTTGATTATTCATATCTTTTTTTATACCATAAATAAATCATATTGACATATGAATTTTTTTTAAATTTCTTTAATAGGGGTTTCACACTACAGCAATATTTCATGAAATATATACACGAAAATATTTCAGCCCATAAGGTTGAAATGGACTGAAATATTGCATTTGAAATATTTCATTCACATTGCTGCTAGTGTGAAACCCCTATAATATAAATGATATTTCACATATGGGAAAAATTCGATGCAAATGATGGTCATCACAATCTGATGTGAAGAATACAAATTTGACATTTAACACAATGATTTCCGTTAGAATTTTCATAGATAAATATTTACAAAACTCTTTCAATACAACAAGCAACCAATTAATGAAGACAAATTAATCAAAAAACAAGAACAAAATATAAATGTAACATATTTTATCCAAATAAGTGTTTTTGTAAATTTTTTTCTATACAAATTTCTTTCTCGACGAACAACAAATATGAATATTTTACAATGATTTTTTTTCTATTAATGTTCGTCTTCCAGATTTTTAGCCAATTTATTACATAATTTAAAAATAATACAACAATTTTAAAATGTTAATCGAAAATTTTCCTAAATATTAGGATTAGATGAGAATAGGGATCACCGACCAGTTAGGGAAAAAAATCACCGCCCATTTGAATCTATTCATTCATCCATGATAATGAAGACAAATGATTGAAGAAATGGAATTCAAGATGTGCTTTGAGCATTATAGTGACCACAATAAAGTAATGGCCATGTTCTAACAGAATAGCGAATTTTCATTATATTTGGCAAAACAATGAGGAAATTTGGAAAAATGTAGAATGCTATAGGGCAGTATGAGTGAAAGACGTTGCGCTATTACTATGAGCAAGCGATAATAAACTGCCGCTAACACTGGCAGAATCATCGTTATCCATAAATTGTGGGTATGGCTCAGTGGATGCATCTGCAATGGCCAAAGCATTGAAGCCCATTTGTGTGCTTTCTAGATCAAATTTTTCAATTTCCTGTGCTTGACGTTCAAGTAATAAACGTTTACGTTCATTTCGTTCATTCTGAAATTGTTGACGTTCATCTTCCATCTATTGATGAAAAAAATTGAAAATTAAAAAAAATTCATACATCTAATAATTTACCTTTTTCTCCAATTTCATCTTATCGATACGGACTCTTTCTTCTAGTTCACCACGTTCTTTGGCACGTTGTGCTTCGGCATTTAATCGGATTTTGCTTTGAAAAGCTCTCAACGATTCAAGCTCTTGATCAAGTTGATTTCTTAGTTCATTTTCTTCTTGTTCTTGTGCTTCATCCAATCGTATCTGTAAGGAATTTAAGATCATTGTACTCATGGAATTTTGTTTTACTTTAAGGTTAACATACCGATTGTGTTTGAAGCATATCTGCTATGCTTTGTTCATATTGTTCGCCTAAAATCTGTAACTTTCGAACTTGTTCTTCTTTCAATTTTTTGATGACATTTTTCTGTTCATCTTTTGGTGTGGAACTCAATATTTGTTCCTTCCAGGCCTTATACTGTTAGAATAATATAGGAAATCAGAAATCAAACTTAAAAACTTCAATAATTAATACCTGAAGTGTTTGTGTTTTACACGTTTCACGGAATTGTTTTCGTATCTGTAATTCTTTTTGTTTGAGACTTTTTGGTTGTTGCTTCACTTCCATTGCGTGCTTTTTACGTAATTCTTTCAATCGTCGATCAATGTATTCCTGTTGATTGGCTAATTCAATCGAATGCTGATTACGAATTTGCTCCTCACGTAATTGATGGATAGCTTTTTGCTGTTGATATTGAAGATCTTGGAATATATCATGATGTTGCATTAACATCTCATGTGCATGTTCCAATTGACTTTGTCGTTTATTAAGCTCATCGCGTAACATTTCCCTTTCTAGTTGATGAAATTGAATTTGCTTACGGCGACGAAATTTTCGTATTTCCAATTTAAAATATTCGTCATTCTGTTGTTGTAGATTTTGTAATTTAAGATGTTGATCTCTTTGCACTTGTTCTAACCGCATTTTGTATTCATCGTGTGGGTATTCACGTTTCAGTCTATCTTTGACACATTTGAATTCACGTTTTTGTTGAATCTGTGCGCGGCTGAATTCGTCTTTTTGTGTGTTTAGTATCGATTTGCCAATCTTACGTTGTTGTGTTGAATTGACTTTTGACTAAAATTCAAAAAAAAACAAATAAATTTTAAGCTTAGTATATTGGAACATCTCAACCTTTTTTTCTAATTCTTGCTGTTGTTTGGTGATTTGTTTTTCCAGATCCTTTTTGAATTGCTGTAATAATGCATCATATTCTTTGTCTAATTTTTGTTGCTGTTCTTCAAATTCTTGTCGACATTTATCTTCTAGCTGCATGATTGCTTTCTGATGTTGGCGACGCATCCGTTTATAACCGGACATTTGTTCTTGTAGCTGATTATCCCGGGCATGTTCTTTTAATTGCCTAGTAACAATCGAAGTAGTACGTAAGGTAGCAAAATTATTGGCACCCAATTCAGTGCTATTTATGCTGGCCGAAGAATTCTGTGGAAAATATTCATAGATAATTAGTTTTTTAAAATCATCAAAATTTATCTCATACCGATGGACTGATTCGATTTGTCTGATTAGAAATGCCACCTCCACCTGTGCTCGAACTTGTACTTTCACGCCGGATCGTTATTGGATTACGATAAGCATCGACATCATTTACACAATTATTAGCAGTTGGTATGCTACTCGTACTACTGCTTTGACTACATATGCTAATTTGGCTTGTACTTTGTCGGCTATTATAGCTAGCCACACTATTACTTTTACCGTTATTATTATAATTATTGACAATATTTCCATATAATGGTTGTTGATTTTGATAATTTGGCTGCTGCTGTTGTGGAGATTGATTTTTTGATCCATGGTATTGTTGATGATTCTGATAATAAGAATGTTGCTGTTGTTGATGATGATGAGAATAGTTGTTCATATTGCTGTTGCCGGCTTTATTGCGATTATTATTGTTGTTAGCATTATTGCGGCTATTATGTTGTATGACTTCTTCCTGCATAATCGTATTGATCAGTTGGGTTAATGGAACATCACAGTTTCTACTTACATTTATATCACTTTCATAATCAACTTGAGAACTTTGACTTTGAAGATCTGAATTGCGATTATCGGCCATTAATATTTTTTTCATTTTACGATAATTCAGATTATCTAATTCACGGACAGCCGTCTTTGTTCGATTGATTAAATCCATGATCACTGTGTGCGAACGTGGTCTGGTTATGAATGAGTGCTGTAATCGCAGAAAAAATAATTTTTATTTCGGACCTTTAAGTTAATAAAAAGTTACCTTCAACATTGCACTTGATGTTGGTCGTTCATTAGGATTCTTTTTCAGGCAAGAATTGACAAAGTTTCGAAATAAATCGGTCCAATCAATAGATCCGGCATAGCTTAAAGTAGGTGAATCATTTTGGGCAATATGATATAAGGCACTCATAGCGTTCATATTAAAATATGGTGGTTTTCGTTCCGCCATTTCTATACAGGTTATGCCCAATGACCAAACATCTACTTTACCATCATATTGACCTTCATCCATGGCTAGAATAACTTCGGGTGCCATCCAATATGGCGTACCGACAAATGAATTGGCAGGCGAGATTATCGATGCTGAACCGAAATCGGCTAATTTGACTGCGCCATTTTCGGTAAGTAAAATGTTGCCCGCCTTTACATCACGATGTATACGACTTTGTGAATGTAAATATTCGAGGCCTTTGAGAGAATCATGACAAATAGCAGATATTTCTTCTTCCCTCAATGGTTTTTTGTGCACTAATATGCAAAATATGAATATTAAAAATCGAAAACCAAGTGGCTGAACGTACCTTCAATGATATCGGATGCTGATCCAAGACAATATTCCATCACTAACCATGCTGTCTGATCTTTTAGATAGCATCCTTTATAGTCGATAGTATTACGATTTTTTAAGGTTTTAAGAAATTTTACTTCCTTTAAGATATCTTGCCATTTCTAAGAAATCCAGTAGTAAAATAACAATTAATTAAACATATTTAATATGAATGCTGACGTACTTCTGTAGATTGTTTGCCAGTGAAGGACATCTTTTTAATGGCGACCACTTCTTTTGTAATGACATTTCGAGCCTTAATCAATGATTGTTTCATAAACTGAATTAGAATGCGAAAAAAAAACATACAATACAAACATACGTAATAAACGGCACCGAAGCTTCCATGTCCAATTTCACGAAGATCGGTGAATATTTTTTCAGGATCTTCTTTATCAAAATATTGTGCGATTTCGGGATCTTTAAGATGACCGAGTCTAAATAATGACATTCAAAGAAAAAAATTTGTCAGAATTTTTTTCAGACAAATGAGAAAAAAACTTACCTGAAATGTGTTGGCATTGTGTCGATTTTTTTGAAATTGAAAAATGACAATAAATGACTTGTACTGAAAGAGATGATCAACACTATCGTCACACCAGAATGAATTGAATACAAGTATGTGAGCGAATGTGATCAGGATATTTTGGAATTAATCTGGTTGAACAGAAATTGTTCATTTAATCATCGATAATCATCTCTTTCTAAATGGTTAAAGTTTTTTAAGAAAAAAAATTGAAAAGAAAAAATAAAATAATTAATTTTAATCCGAAAAATTGATGCCAAACCCAAGATTTTGAACTAATATAAATTATAATGAATAGATGAACAATAAGATATGAAAAAATTTCGAAAAACAACAACAACAAAAGGTCATTATTTTCAAAGATAAACTAATCTGTAAGTGTGCAAAAAAAATGATTTAGTGTTTAGAAAAAAATAGGATAATACCATCAAAAAGGTGTCTAATAAGATTTAATTCATTCATTAACATCACCACCATACCATAACACTAATTACAATTCAGATTGAAAAAAAATGATTTCGCTTTTAAACAACAAAAGTACACTGATTGATTTTCAACACACAAAACACAACATGTGATTGTTATTTCGACTATGAAAGAATAAAATTAACAAAAAAAAAACTACAGTAATATTCTTCATATCTATAGTATGGTGGAATATAATTTTAATAACAGCACAAAACAAATAGAAATAAAGCTTGCCAAACATAACATAATTTTCTTAAAATTATAATAATTAATGATTAAAAAACGGCTTTCTATTCCGATATTTAAGATTTGAAATTTGAGAAGCAAAAAAAAAAAAAAGATATGGCCAGGCAACGAAACAGAAAATTTTTTGTGCCAACATTCAGACCAAATTCAAATACATGGTCTTTGTGAATAAGGAAGAAACCGATATCAATGATTTTTAAAAAAAATTTATTTCAATAAGTTTAACTATAATATCTTGTCATATAACAAAATGTCAATAAATAATAATTTCTACATAGAATTCAAAAGATATACTAACAACATTAATAAACAAATGTCCGTTATTAGGACGTAATTGTTCCAATGGATTAAAGTGATAAATTAATGAAAAAAAAATTCTTTTCATTCATCATTTTTGATAAATAGTAGAATTTTTCATTCAATGCTTATACTGAATGAAACAAGGGTTAGCCATAACATTATCAGTAGCAATTTTTCATATTGAAAAAAAACCATTCGATTCCGATCTAACATGAGAACTATCAGATCTGATAACAAAAATATTCATTCGATCGTTTAGTCAAATTAGTTGATGAAACAAAAATGATCCTCATAACTATAATTATATAATGGACAGTTTGAGCATAAGTTCATTTGTAATAATAAAACGAAATTGTTTAAACCCAACAGAATAAATAGAGAAACGAAATGAAACCGGGCAGTTTATGACGTAATAAATATTTGTATGATGTGATGTGATGTGTGTGTGTACTCACGCGTTATATTTCGCCGCTGTCATCATCATCATCATCATCATTTTAGTTTCTGGTGCGTAGATAAATTTTTTTTTTTAAAGATATAGAAAATATCCCAGTTCCCTGGCCAACAGAAAGAAAAAAAGAAAGAGAAAGAGAGAAAAAAAGTTCAATGTCCCGGGAACGAACCAAAAAATATATTGCAGGCGTCAGTGAATGTGTACATAGTTTATTTCAAATTATTTTCATATGAAAAAAAAACGAAGATAAAAGATTTTAATAAGATGATAAACTGAAAAAAAGGGTTATCCTTGCAAATAAAAAAAAATGATTCTTTGATTCTTTAATAAATTCTGATCATCTGAAAAATAATAATCAAATTCTTTTCACGTTTTTAGAAAATAAACCTTTCACTATACATATTTGTCATAGATTTATCATGTTTCAAATGAATCATGGATTTATCCTTTGACATGGTGATAATGAATATTGAAAAAACATACAGAAGCCATATCGAAAAATAATCATTTTCGTTTCAATAAAAAGAAAGAGAACGATAGATAGAGAGTCACCTACACAAAGAAAATCATGTTTCATTTTTTTTCTCTCCAATACATCATCCATATATATGAAATATAGAACCAAATGAACAATTTTCCCTGAAAGGAAATCGAGCAATGACGACTAGTGTGTGTGTGTGTGCGTGTATATCAAATGAAGGTGCGAATGTTATTGAAAGGAAATGGCATATATATCGTTTCGTTTCGTTTTCACATATAAACAACTGAAATGGCAAACCAAAAACAAAAAGGAAGAAAATATTTTCAAAAAAAAAATTCAGCAATTATAATAAAAAATAAAACAATGATGTTGTTATTATTATCATTCTAAAAAAAATAGGAGTTGCTTTTCAATGTATGATTAGTTTAGTTCATCAATACGATTGAATGGATAATTGAATAATTTTAAAAAATTTAGAAATAAAAATCCAATTCATTCTTCCTTATTATTATTATCATTATTATTCAAAGCCGGATGATATAATCTAATATCGAATATGTCATCAATCTATTTTTAAATTGATAATAAATTTAGTTTATCATCATTATAATGATGATGAAGATCATCATCATCATCATTGTTCATTTAGGATGTAAATGATCTACATAAATAATGATCACATTCCCATCATGAATCATCATTATAATCGCAAATTGTTAAAAGAAGATAGATCATGTGCACCAAAACCACCATTTTGGGAAAAGTACTCAAAAAAAAGGAAAAAAATCATTATTATATGTAACAACAAATATGAAAAAACCGGCTTATTGAATGTATGTTCATTTACCTTGTGAGAATTAAAAACTTGACCAAGTCATATAAATAAAGAAAGAAAAAGAGAAAAAAAGAAGGACTCAAATAAACATCCATTGAAAATTGCCATAAATTTATTGTTTTCATTGGTAAATCAACGAAACAAAAAGAAAAACAGCTGTTTCTTGTATTAGATAAAAAAATCGAAATCATTTCAAAAGGATTGAAATACAAATCATAAATGAGACCAAATTGTAACGGTGTTCATCAATGTTTTTTTTGCAAAAGAGAGAGAAAGAGAAGGGTATTTCATCATGGTCATCGTGAACATAGTTAACAAGAGCAGGTTTTTTTTTGTCATTTACATCATTATAAAATGATGATGATGATGATGGAAGTAATAATCATGAAATTCAGGGGTTATCAACACACACACACACCTATTTTAAGTTTAATAATGCAAGAAATTTTCTTTGTCTTATAAATTTCGTGATGATGTCGTTTATTTATCATTATTATTATTGTGATCAGCATCATGGTTGGACATCAATGAATGAACAAAACTTACTTACCATAAATCATAGATAGATTGATAATCTAGACAAAATAACAGGAAAAAAAAATTAGTACCAAATACGGAACACACTAACATAAATTTTAGAACATAGATAAAGATCGATCAATGTGGCCAATCATTCATTGCTTTTATCTAGTTTTCATGCAGAAGCAACGAGAAACATTACATTAAGCAGCAATAGAAAATGTCGAATAGACAAAAAAAAACAATGGAACTATTTGCTGCAAATGTTTGCAAAGATTAAATCAATAATGGAAGCAAAACAAAAAAAAAAAATCCAAAACTTGACTTATTAGAATATTGGTATTGCTGTTCTGTTTTCAGTTGGACATATATAAAGAAAAGAATTCGTTTTGAAAAAGATTTTAAAATCAATATTTTGGTTCCAAATACTTGTACAGATGGAAAAGTTTAAAATTAAACAAAATTTTTATAATCGATAAAATGTTTTTTTTCTTCTCCAATACAACTTTACATTGCCAAAATATTTGTCCGACAGTTGACTCGAAAATCAAAAAATTTTGTTTTGTATAAACGACGAAGAAAATTTAAAATATTCGATAATGATACATGAACAGATGATCCAATAGGATAATTATCCAATCATTCTAAACATACATAAAGAGAACGATATTTCTTTCTGATACCTCTTTTTCTTTTTAAACAAAAAAAAAATCAAATCTACCACCCCTTCTTCTTCTACATAAAATTCGACAAGCCAGTCAACCCAAATATTTACATAATGATGCTGATGAACTATAAACTCTTTGTAATTTAGCAATTCGAATAAATAAATATAGCAGAAAAAATGGAATAGAAGAAAAAAAAACCGGATGAATAGCAAAAACAAAACGCCCTTCTTGTCTCTCGCTAGTTATCTTAGGGGTTAAAATGATAATTATCACCCTTCAAATTTTCACAACAAAATGTTTTGTTTTTAGTTTATCATGGAAAAAACACAAATATAATTTATGTATATTCATGTGACTAAGTTTCCGCGGAAATTAAACAAAACAACCCAAAAACAGACACACAGAGAGAAAAAAAAGACAATACATCATAATCAAATAGAACAAAATTTTTTTACATAAATATTTTTTCACTCACACACAAACATTCCATACGATCATAATTTTTTGCAATAAAAAAAAATGATCAGATCACATGTCTCTGATTAGTATGATGATTTTGTAAAATATTTTCAAACAAAAAAAAACTGAAAAATACCAAACATTATCATTGAAGAACTTACCTTTATGAATAATAATACATGAATGAATGAATCAGTAATTTTTTTTTGTTTGTTCCTGATTTCATTAAATACAGATTTCAAAACTTTGACATGACCATCATAACCATTGTGATGGTAAGTAAATTAAAAGGGGAAAAAAGTACCAAACCATATTTATAAAAAAAACAGCTTATTCAATGTTGTCGATTTGTTGTTGATTGTGTGTGTGGGTGTAATCAGACAATTAAAGAATTATAGCTGTTTATACTGAAATTATTGATGAATTTGTCAAGGTTTATAACGCAAATGATAACGATGAATGAAGATGATCAGAATGAATTGAGAATGGATTATAGACATTTTTAAAAAGGAATATTTTTTCGATTCATCATATAAATCAAAAACCAATGGTCATTACATGAATACACACACACACACTGAACAATAACTATAGAAAAAACAAAACAAAACAAATGCAAAAGGGCCCACACAATGAATACAAATTTTCACTGGCCACTGATACCACAAAAAAAACACAAATCGAAACGGATTCCTAACAGAATTGATATTTAATCACACAATAGAGATTTTAGAGTTCTTCTTACAAGAAGGGGCGTGTAAGTAGATGAAAAATAGGGGATGTTTCCTCGATGTTATTGTCGATATTTGTAAGATTTCAATGATGATAAGCAAAAAAAAAAACAAATTTTGGCATTGAGCACCGACAACGTCGTCGCCGTCGTTGTCGTCTTGCTTGATTGTTTAGTTTGGTTTTTCAGTATCGTTCATTACAAAAAAAAACACCATTCTCATCATTCGAATCCCATGTCCGAAAGTAGTAGCACCAACAACATATCAAAGAATTCGATATCAGCAGCCACTACCAAAAAACCAGAATAAATTAACCAAACTGGCAAGTTCGTCTACAAACACAAAATACAAAAGCATTGAGGCAATTTGAGTGAAAAACTGCTCATTTATTGGAAGCAAAAAACAAGCTGCTTCCAGCTTCAATTTTAACCAAATTCACTATGACGACTTTGGCAATAATAATCTCCACTACCTCATTATTGGCACAAATGTGCAAAAAGTAAAAAAAAAAAACATTAAAAATGCTGCTTCTACATTTTGGATTCTACCGTCATTTTGCGAAAAAATGACTTATTCAAGTTTTGCGATTTGTTCAATTATTTGTTCTTATTTGTTGAATAAACTTCAGGAATTATTGTGAAATTTGCATGAAAATAGGAAGCTTCAATGTTATTCCGGTTAATAAAGCTTTTTTGGAACTAATTGTCATCGTTAATCGAGATATCACTGTATATCAAAAAAAGTAGAAGCATAGACATTGGTCTGTTCCAACACACAAACATCCGATCCAACTTTTTATTGACCAAACTTTGTGCCATCTGTTGTCAAAGAATATTAACAATAATTTTGATAAATTTTTAACGTCAAGTTTTAATTTTGCATTAAAAAAATTTATTTTCGTAAAATGGATAGAAATACAAATGAATAATGAATGAATAAATTGATAGATTTAATCTTTAGTAACTGAGGCTGACGGCGGTGCTGATTGTGCGACGACCGGCAGGATTTTATCTGTAGAAAATAATCATATTAGGAAAAAATTCACAGAAAAATGCGATCAAAGTAATACTAACTTATAATTTTTCCATATCCACCACGATCAGGATCGAAATTCTCGCGATATTCATCACGAATTTGTCCACCACTTTTTCCACGGCCAAATTGTCTTCCTTCAATAAAACCGGCATCCCAATCACATCTAATGATGCGATTATCGAGTCGAGTACCGTTTATCCATTGCATGGCACGAAGAGCATCTTCACGTTCATGAAATTCGACGAAACAAAATCCACAAGGAGTTTTTCTAAACTTATCCAAACCGATGATAACACGACGAATATCACCACAACGACCAAATAAATCATAGATTTGCTCTTCCGACGTATAGAACGAAAGGTTACCAATATAAAGTGTGGAAGATCTACGGAGTTTTTCTTCTTGTTCTTCGCGGCTTCCCTAAATCGAACAAGAATTTATTTTGGAACTGCAAACATAAATTTTTCTCACACGTCATTGCTTACTTGAAATTTTGTATCACGATAGCTACCAAGACTAATGTCTCTTCGTTTTTGTAAAGTAACACTCATTTTTTACAAATGATAAAGATTTATTCGTTTTTTAAACTAAAAATTTGAAATCTATCAACAATATCGAAAAACAAAATGCCGCATCAGTGAATTGGTCAATCACGTGATCAAACACTATGTTGACTCAAAAAGAGTAGTTATAAACGATACAGTGCAAATAGGTGAATTAATGATCATTTTTAAAAATTGAATGCGAAAAATGGGGCAGTTTATGTACATGACTAAATATCTGAAACATTTCATCACTAGTTAAATCACCAAGGGTTTTATAATAGGAAATACCAAGACCAATAAGATCGATCGTACAACCAGGAAAATGTTTTTCATAATATTTTATGGCATTGTTTGTACGTTTCATGAATGATTGTTTGACAAAAACACTAAAGTAAGTATAAAAATGAAATGTTATAATCGATTTATTGGATAAAATACAAATAAATACTTACATGTAATCGATTAGATAATCAGCCTCCATTTGACTAATAAAAGGCTTCGGTTTAAGTTTAATCAAAATGAATGCTTCTTTTGATTTAAATTTACGATCATTGGTATAGGCGAAATTGGTACTAGATATGATTGAATGATGTCGATTTTCAATCTTAACTTTATCAATACCGTTTTTCAAATCTGATGAATATAAATCGATTTCATGTCGTTCAAACAGTGTATTCATGTGAATAGTGAAGGCAGTATAAAGGTGAAGGTTACGTGATGGTTTACTTGCTATCGTTCTATATATGGATATTGGTACGAATAGATAAAATTCATTGGGTCCAGACTCGAAGAATGATTCAAAACGAACAATGGAATACACTAGATAGGTAAGAAATTCTCGAGCAAAAAATGGCGATAAAGCAGTGAATAGTCGAAATGATGGTTGCGTTTGTTGTGGCCGATCGGTTGAATGTGACCAATTATTCGTCAAACCACCAAAACATAATCGAAGTAGATCTTCACGTTCCAAATCGAGTAATCTATAATTTCCAGTTGCAAAATCTGTAAAAAAGATTAATAAAACGGTATTTGAATTAATCATAGCCGATTTTTTTACCTAATATTTGTTTGTCGATAATTTCCATTTTATCATTTCCATATTTCTGATGAAGTGCTTCCAGATGTGGTCGATGTTTTGAAACATGCTCGAACACACGTATTTTTCTTTTGCTATGTTTCAATAAATTTTCTGTTAGAATACCATATCCCGGTGAAGCTTCAAATAAATAAGAATTTTTGCTATTATCACAGTCTAATTCATGAGCGATTTTTTCGCAAAATTTCTCTGCAATTTTTTGATTTTTTAGACAAATAAATTGATTAGATGTTTTACGGAGATATGATTTGAGCAATTCTTGTTGCATATTGGAGCCATTCAAATGATTAAGCCTAGCTTTACTAATCATTTTTATCTTTGCTTCATGATAATAATGAACGAAAAAAATTGAAACATCTTGAGAATCAAATATGATTATTAAACAATCGATTATTTAACATCGATTATCACGTGAATATAGATTTTATATTTTTGTTGCATCCAAATTGTTTTTTTTAATTGTTTACGAAATTAATTATCCAATTATTCTTATGTCTTCATCAGAACCTGAAAATTGTCCGGGTATCGATTCTGAACAGGCGGGAAAATCAACCGCATGTGCTGGATGTCCTAATCAAGGATTATGTGCTGGTGGCGAATTACGGTCATCGATCAAAGATGCTGAACAAGATTATTATGAAATAGCAAGGAAATTATCACCGATCAAGCACATCATAATTATAATGTCGGGAAAAGGTGGCGTGGGCAAAAGTACAGTAGCTACTCAATTGGCTCGTTTTATTGCATTCAATAATCCAAAATGCAATGTTGGTCTATTAGATGTGGACATTTGTGGCCCATCGATACCAAAAACAATGGGTGTCGAAAATGAAGAAATATTCAACTCAGCATCTGGTTGGTCGCCTATTTTTGTTGACGATAATCTTGCTGTAATGTCATGTGGTTTTCTGCTTGAATCGTTGGATGACGCTGTCATTTGGCGTGGTCCTCGTAAAAATGGAATTATCAAACAATTTTTGCGAGATGTTGATTGGAGCGAACAACTTGATTATTTAATAATTGATACACCTCCAGGTACTTCTGATGAGCATCTATCGCTGGTGAATTATCTGAAATTTTGCCAAAATGTTCGTGGGGCCATAATGGTAACGACACCGCAAGAGATTGCCCAAATGGATGTACGTAAACAGGTGGAATTCTGTCATAAAGTCAAATTGCCCATAATTGGTTATGTAGAAAATATGTCTGTGTTTGTATGTCCAAAATGTTCGAAAGAAAATTACATTTTTAAGTCCAAATCAACAAAATTTACACTGGAAGATAAATATGGAATCAAATTATTAGGCCGGTTACCGATTGATCCTCTGATCGGAAAGAGTTGCGATGAAGGTAAATCATTGTTTACTGATGATAAAGTACTCGATAATCGAATTCTTCAGGCATTCCAAGATTTATGGGACAATTTATGTAAGGAAATTGATAAATCAAATCAATAAATAATCATGTAAAATTTTCGAGATTAAAAATTAATAAAAAGTTTATCATCAGTTTATTTAAAAAAAGAAATTTAATATCAAAAAATCATCGAGATGAATAACAAACAATCATTTAATAATATAATTCCTATAAATATGTTTGACAGCATAATTAACAAGATTGATAATAATCTGACAAAACTTTCCATGCTGTTTTTGCCATAAAACCATCAGGCGGATTTTCACCATTTTTTGCCATTTTTCGCATTCGCGTTCCGGATATTCGATCAAAATCTTTTGGATTCATGCCTTCAGTTTCGAACATCATACGATTTTCTTTTTTATTATACGAAGCAACACGGAATGGGATGATTTCGAATTTCGTTAAACCGGGTGCCATTTTAAGTACCTTACGTCCATGTGATGGATCATAAAGGTCTTTATCTTTGTCGGGATGCGGAATACCAGCCGGATCACGACCAACAATATAAAAATTAGCACCAGTGACTAAACGAGCTTTGGCATGCCATTGAACTTCACGTGGTCCAGCATAAGACATAGGAGACGGAAATATTGCCATCAAAGTTGAATGTTCATCGAGAACACCTTCCTTTATCACAGCTTGATGTTGTGAAATGCGAACATGTAAGGGAACATCATCATCTTTGGTCCAACCACCTAATGGATGCAGAAGTAGTACTGGATTTTTATAGCCACGTTCCAATAATTGACGCTTAGTGTCTTGCATCAACAATGCATGTCCGTTGTGTATTGGATTGCGTAGCTGAAACGCAAAAACTGCATCAGCCTATTAGAAACAAAACAAAAAAAAATCTGAGAAAACTCATTATAGTTTTTTTTGGCACATACATTCATTTCTCTCAATTTCGATCGAATTTCTCTTGGTGTTAATCGATATTGATCAAGGCCATCATTCCATAAGATACGATCAAACACCTTCAATCGGCCACCGATCAACCAATCACCACTATCCATAATCATACGGATAGATGGGTGGCCAATGTTAGTAGTTTTAAAAACACTGGCAGCTCGTTCCTCTTTACGATGCTCATAAACTTCATAATCATCCAATATGGCAATTATCTTATCATTATATTTCAATGTCACACTTTTCTTAACAGCGTTTTCTTGTTGATCATTGTTGAATCCATTGCAATTATAATCACCATTATTGTCATCACCACCATTGAGAATCGAAGCCAAGTATGATTTTTGCTCATTTGTAATTGCCAATGTAATAGGAATCGTTTGATTGTGCCATTTACCATTAACAAGCATTCCGAAATTTATGCATTGTAGATATTCCGTTTCATTCATAAAACCCTATTTTTGAGAATGATAATGATGACAGTAAAAATAGCCTGATCATGATTGACTGACAAACCTTTAATGGAGTAGCCCAACCTTCAGATAAGACCTGTATCCATTGAAGATCAACAGTTGATATGTTTATTGATGGTAAACGAGAAGCTCGAATCATTTCATTTGGTTTATCATGTTCGTTGATGAACAATTCATGAATGTCTTGAATTTTGTCCAATGATATGATGTTCTAATCAATCATTCAATCAAATGAACAAATAGTTTATAGACTTTGAACAGCAGTAATGTCACAATCACACTTACTCTTTTGATGAGAAGATCAATCACTTTTTGAACACATTGATCAATTGTATCTTCACTAGCTTTTAGCACAAGATCCGGATTTTCCGGACGTTCATAATCCTGATTGATACCAGTGAATCCTTTTATTTCACCGGCACGAGCTTTTTTATAAAGACCTTTTACATCTCTTTGTTCACACACATCTAATGGTGTATCAACAAAACATTCGATAAACACTATGGAATCCTTTTCATGAATTTCACGAGCCTTTTTACGATCTTTACTAAATGGACTGATAAAGCTGGCCAATGTAATTGTACCACTATCGGCAAACAAACGTGCTACTTCAGCAATACGACGTATATTTTCACCGCGATCTTTTTCAGAGAATCCTAAATCTGAATTCAATCCATAACGAATATTATCACCATCTAATGCATATGCATGAATCTGATGCCTAGTAAGAAATTCTTCCACAGCAAATGAAATTGACGTTTTTCCAGCACATGACAATCCTTGAAAAATAAATTTGTATCCGAAAATCATTATTATAAGGAAAATAGATAGAAAAAGGAAACAAAAAAAAATGAGTGAATAAAAAAACATGATACAGGAAATTCAAGCGACAAAATTGATTGAAAATATATTGCACACGAATTAATGAAATTTCAGTGTTGGAAAAAAAAACTTTTCTTTTAGGATTATTTCCAAATAATTCGGTTAGGGTTTTTTTTCCCTAATAAACTTCTGTCATTTAATTTTGGTAATCAGGTCGTTTTGGGTGTGCGTGCATTATTTTGTAAACATAAAATTAATAACACTTTAATACACGAAGATTTATGTTGAATTTATTGAAAACAAACCTATACCTATTATATATCATGGTGATGTGGATACTATTAAATGATAATCAATATTCGAAAAGCTAAATTTTTCACCTATGTAATCAATAGGAATGAATAATCAAAAACGAAAAAAGAAAAAATTGACCGAATTTTCTATTCTCAAATCTAAAATTTTTAATGGTAATAAATTTGATAATAATAGTAATAAAATAAATACCTGTAAACCAAACAGTACAGCCACGAAATTGTCTTCCATTCGATAATGATTCGGCTCGTTTATCTCTTGATACACGATGATTTTGATAGAAAACATTTGTCGATTTATTCATTGTCATCGATGATTGTTGTTGTTCGTTCTTTTCTGGAGTATAAAACGACGACATTATTTTTATTAGTGAAAATTAATTTCGTTATGTTTAGGTATAAATGGAACTGATCATAAAGAATTTATCTAATCCTTTGTTAAACGAGTATACAAAGAAAAAAAAACTTATATTTCGGTCCAATAAATACTAGACAAATCTAAATTATTTTTTAATAGTATGACCAATATTTAATTGATTAAGAAACAAAAAATGAGAAACAAAAAAACTTTGGCATTCAATGAATCTAATTTCTTTCATTCATTCTTTAGTTTATCGTAGAAAATGATAATGATTTTTAGAAATTTGATAACAGGATCTTTAGTGGCATCACAAGTATTGATAGGAAAATTATAATTCTCATTAAACAATAAATCAATCAATTTAACGTATGATTTTAAAGCCTGATGTACAGATTTATATCATTTGAGTTGACAAGTTTTTTTTGTTGCATTTTGATCGAGTGTACAAAAATCGATTGTGAAACTTACCTGGTTACTGTTGTTACAAACGTTTTGGTTCACTTAAATAACATTAAGAATTAATGCAAGCTCGAAAAACTGTTTGAAATATCACAGTTTATAAATTAAATTATTGAAAATATGTTGCACAAAATTTTTAGATCCGGAAAATAATACAAGAAAAATCAAATCAATGATTGATTCTTTCACATTAAAGCAAAATGATGAATGGCGCCCTTTAATTTGAGAAACTGTTTCAATAATGTTCCAAAAGATCCTTCGAAGGAATCATGAATGCATATGCGTATGGCGCCTAAAATAGGGGAAATTACTTTACAGTTGAATAAGACTGCCTATTTTGATTGCTTTCAATGAAAATAGAAAATGTACTTTGACAACAGCCCAATATACTTTATCAAATGAATGAGAGAAAGAGAGTATAAATAAAAATGTATATAAAAAAACAATTGTCGTTTATGATTATGATGATTTGTCAATGTTCATGCCAACCATGATCAATGCATATATCAAATAATGATTTGATCTTTCCGGATTTGAAATAAACATTACAGTGACTTTGATGAATATTCATCATCAAATTATGAATGATATTAATGAGGCATTTTTTTCATTATACAAAAAAACATTCATTCAGATTTGTTTAATGTCATAAGGCTGAAGTATTTCCTTCAAATTGCCAATGATTTGGCAATGAATGATCATCATTGATCAATGATTTTTTTACATCAAATCTGTTTAAGATGTACTTAATAAATTGAAATTAGAAAACTGTATATTGTTTGAAAATGATTAAAAAAAACAGGTGATTTCGAATATCATGGATCAAACAACAGACGATCCTTTCTGATGAAAAATATAGAATTTGTTGTATTAATTTCGATCAAAAGATGGCGATCATAATGAATTTGTAGAATATTTTAATTTAATTTCATTGATTCGTTGATTTGATTCATCCTATCGGGAAATCAATCGATAACCATCAATGATTCCTAGAAAAAAAATACCATCAAAATTGATTATCTCACGTAACTAAATTATAGTCAGCTATGAAGTGGTTTTATATATGATTAAAATGATTAGACTCTCAGATATGTACGATATGATCAATTTAAACAAAATGATCAAACATGATCATTCATTTATTTTGTACGTCATCTAATTTTAAATCCGTTCCAGCGAATCATCTATTAATTGATTGATACAAATTGTTTATTAAATAAATTTCTTATTTTTGTTGCAATAGATTAAAAAAAGATATTAAAATCAAGTGATCAATCCGGATACACACTGAAAAAAATACATTCTTTTGGGTTATTTGTTTTTAACATAACATTCCAATGATTCTGTTCATTAAAAATAATGAAAATACAATGTTTTTGATGATTGTAAGTTCATGATGATCGCGATCAATATGAATAAATATGATCTGGATGAATATTTTGCGAATTTTTTTTAAAGTTATGAGAATCGCTCGCTCATGCGCTTCTTGATATTCCGTATACAACACATGGGATCGAATTTGTTAAATTTACGTCATCATATTTCTATAAATTCAGAGATATAAACTCAATCTAAACAAATGTTGATATTGTTGTTTTTTTTTGCAAAACAATACTGATGCAAACAATACTGTTATATGTTGATCCAACTCACATAAAATTCAAGCAAATTTTCAAGTTTCTTGTTTTAACTACTAATGAAACTCAGCTTTAAAGAATATCCTGACAACAAAGACTATTTTGATTGTTGAGAAAAACAACGAAACTTGATTTTTTTTGACTTGAAAACTTAATTTTCTTCGGGTCCACATGATCCATCATTGACTACAATCGTCAATGTAACAAAATCATATTTTTTTCTGATATAGAAAAACAACGGCCAATAATTTTTCAAGTTGTAATTCAAGTACTCATTTTAAGATCATTTTTCTCTTTATATGTCTCTTGTTTTTCAAAAAGTTTCTCTTACAAACATCTTTGATTATAATATTCAAGAAAAATTTTCATTTCTGATGAAATAAATTCATTCACATTGGATTCATTTTGATTCAAAGAAGTTAGTATAAAAAAACAATCCGTTTTTAAGCTGTTGATATCAACATTTTTATTGACAAAGTTGGCACATTCAAAAAAAAAATAAATCTTTCCATCCTTTTTGCTTGACGCCAACTGGAATGATTAATTCTAACTAACCAGACGAAATCCATATCCCATATTGTTACATTCCCGTTATAAACAACATAATCCAACATGTCAACATAAATATTTTTTCTTTTCTTTTTTTTTGATTCTGAAACAATTGATTCCATCTTACTAGATATTTATTATCATCAGGATATCGAAAAAAAACTCAGTACCTCATTTTGTAGCAAAAAAAAAAATCTTTATCATCGTCATCGTTACAACGACAACACCAATAATCAAATATTTGATTTGATATAAGTTCATTAACAATATTTAAAAAAAAAATCCATCTGACTATTCATCATCTAACCAAAAATCATCTTTTTGAATGTGTATTTAAAAATAAGACGACCTAGATCCAGATCTGTTTATCATTGTGTTGTGGTTGTTGTTGTGCATCATCATATTAATCTGTTACTGTTTAATTCTTATAACATTTATTATTGATTATTAACCTTTGAAATTTATATTGGACAAAATGTGTGGTAAGTAATCATATTTCAAGTTTGAGCCATGTTTTTTTTCATATTAATGTGTGTGTGTGTGTGTGTCCAAAGAGTTAATGTATGCCGTTCATTGAAAATGTCAGCAGCCTTTACCTTTGGCCAAAAATGTCTGTTTTTCATTGAATTGAGAATAATTTTGTTATGAACTCTAATGTTTGATGGTAAATCAATACTTAGAAATCTTTTGATCAAATTGATTGCTCTTTTTTAAATGGGAAAAAAATTTGAGACGACCGCTTTAGCATTCATTGTCTGTCCCAAAAAAAAATAACAAACTTTTCTGCTGTTCATCAACTTGATTTGTGGCACGCCAAACTAATATTTTTGTTTTATGAAAGATATAAAATATAGGACACACTGTCTATACATCTAGATTATATTTGATTGACATATGCACAATTGAAAAATGACCATTTTGCCCTTCCTTTCTGTCATTCATTTTAAATGAATTATGGTCATGATACAAATGATCATGATCATGATGATAATGTAGGTGAAGAGATTGCATGAATTTTCTTGTTTTTGAATATCTAAATATCCTCAAAATGATTATATCGCTTATTTTTGATTTTGAAAAAATCACTATGATAGATAACGAGACAGATGAATAAACCAAGAGCATACTTCGAATATAGATCGCTATCTTACAGATTTTTAAAAAATGTTTTGCCAATATTTATTTATTAATGTAATATGTCCTAAATAATTCAATTTTTTCCATTTGTTATATTATCAGGAATATTTGCATATTTAAACTATTTGGAACCGAAAACCCGTCGGGAAATTCTTGAATTACTGATAAAAGGTTTACAACGGCTCGAATATCGTGGCTATGATTCAGCGGGTGTTGCATTTGATCAAAACGAAAACAATATTGAAATTATTCGTTGCAAAGGAAAAGTACAAGCTCTATCGGATACTATATGGAATCGTGATGATATCGATCTTGATCATCAATATCAGATTCATGTTGGTATTGCTCATACACGTTGGGCTACACATGGTGCTCCATCCGATCTTAATTCACATCCACAACGATCAGATGAACAAAATGAATTCGTTGTTGTACATAATGGCATTCTTACCAATTATAAGGATATCAAAAAATTTTTGGTAATTAATAATTCATGATTATTATAGTAATAATGTTTCCATAATATTCAATTTAAAACAACATCCAAAATAAATAGGAAAAGAAAAACTATACTTTTGAATCCGAAACGGATACCGAAGTAATTGTCAAATTGCTTAAACATTTACATGAAACTTATCCGAAAATGAAATTTCGTGAATTGGTCGAACAAGTCAGCCAACAATTGGTCAGTTTTTTTTATATATAATCATTTTCGATCTTTTTTTTTAAACATGGATAAATTAATCTAGGAAGGTGCTTTTGCAATCGTATTGAAAAGTAAACATTTTCCTGGCGAATGTGTTGCCACTCGTCGTGGTAGTCCATTATTGGTTGGTATTAAAACAAAAACAGATCTTCTCAGCGATCATATTCCAATCATTTATAGTAACAAAGGTAGGTGTGTCTGAGAATTTGAACATAACATTTTTTAAATCTAAATGCATGTATGCATGTATACTAATAATTTCATAAAACTTTCGATTAATATATCAAACTAAAAAAAAATAGTTACCAATCATAAATTAATAACTCAAATATCATTGAGTGGTGATGAAACAGAAATAATACGTAGACCAATTAGTAAACAAAGTAGTCTTAATGTGGCTTTGGATGATATTATTATTAAAGAACCATCTGAAGGTAATCTCATTTTTCAAATAATAAAACACTCTAACCAATTAAATGTTCTGTGTGTTCCCCGGTTCGTATGGTTGTGCATGTGTGTGGGTGTATGTATCTATTTTTTTTGTTGTTGTTGAAAAATTTGATTCTAATTTTCGATCATTCATTTTTTTGCCCCTTTTGCACTTCACAAAAATGATCGGTCCACGTAATGAATTGGCTTGTGATGCATCGCTTGTGACTATAATTTGGCTTTTATTTTATCTGCTTGGTTTTGTATTCATTTTTGCATTCTATTATAACTTTCCATATTATTTTCCGCTTTTATTTTATTTTTGCTTGATAAATCTTTTCAGAATCAAAACAGTGCAATGATTCAATGCAAGGTATTGTTTACCTTTGTGCAAACATTGAGAATCCTCCGTCATTTTGATGTCATTTTAAACATATATCTGAAACATTTGCATTATTAATAATCTTTTTTTTTGTAATAACAGATACACATCGATCTAATTTGATGAACAATTCATTGGTTGGAGGTAAATTAGCACGTTCAAGTTCAACCACCGAATTCGTACCGTGTGACGATGGAAAAGTTGCCGAATATTTGTTTGCATCTGATGCGTCAGCCATCATTGAACATACTAATCGTGTCATTTTCCTAGAAGATGATGATGTTGCTTCCATTGAAGATGGTCGTATGTATTAAAAAAAATATTCGATTTAATTTTTTCGTAATGGTATTTTCTCTTAAATTTGATTTTCAGGATTGACCATACATCGAATAAAACGAAATCTAGACGGTGGAGATTCATTGACTCGTGAGATTATGACATTGAAAATGGAAATTCAACAAATCATGAAAGGCAATTATAGCTCGTTCATGCAAAAGGAAATTTTCGAACAACCAGAATCAGTGATCAATACTATGCGTGGTCGTATAAATTTCGAAAATGAAACTATAGTTTTAGGAGGTATCAAAGAATTCATACCTGAAATTAAGCGTTGTCGTCGATTGTTGTTGATCGGATGTGGCACCAGTTACCATAGTATCATTGCGGTAAGTTCAATGAATTGCATTAGATTTGAAAACAAGTAAAATAACCTCATTCTTGCAGACTCGACAAATTCTGGAAGAATTAACCGAATTGCCTGTCATGATTGAATTAGCCAGTGATTTCTTAGATCGAAACACACCAATATTTCGTGATGATGTTTGTTTCTTTGTATCACAATCTGGTGAAACGGCTGATACATTGATGGCTTTACGTTATTGTAAACAAAGAAGTGCATTGATTGTTGGAATTACCAATACGGTCGGTAGTAGTATTTGTCGTGAGAGTCATTGTGGTGTGCATATCAATGCTGGACCTGAAATCGGTGTAGCTTCTACAAAAGCATACACTAGCCAGGTCATATCATTGGTCATGTTTGCTTTGGTTATGAGCGAAGATCGAATTTCAATGCGGCCACGTCGAAGCGAAATCATTCAAGGATTAAAAAAACTTCCTGAACAAATCAAGCAAGTGCTTAATTTAGACCAACAAGTGCTGGAAATGTCCAAAGAATTGTATCAACAAAAATCGCTATTGCTTATGGGTCGTGGATGGAATTATTCGACTGTGTTGGGTAATGTTTTGTATTTAACTTTTATATCTGTGATCCTAATTTGTTTGTTTTATAGAGGGTGCATTAAAAATCAAAGAATTAACCTATATGCATTCAGAAGGTATCCTGGCTGGCGAATTGAAACATGGACCATTGGCATTGATCGATGATCGAATGCCTGTGTTAACTGTAATCACACGAGATTCAGTCTATCCAAAATGCATGAATGCATTACAACAAGTATGATCAATTATGTGATAATCATTTGTATTTAATATTGAAAATTTTTCTATAGGTTATGGCACGTGGAGCAAATCCTATTTTGATTGCTGAAGAAGATGATTTGGAAACGCAAAAATATTCCAAACGAGTGCTTCTCATTCCGCATACTGTAGATTGTCTTCAAGGAATATTATCGGTCATTCCAATGCAATTACTTTCTTATCATATTGCTGTTCTACGAAAATGTGATGTTGATTGTCCACGAAATCTGGCCAAATCGGTTACCGTTGAATAGAAAAAAAATTGGAACAACTGTTCGACCAAATATTACACCTCTTCAAAAAAAAGCCAAATTGACTCACAGATTATTGCAAATGAGAATTATTTTCCATTAATATTTATTTTTACAACAAACCATTTTTTTAAATCTATTCATATAATTTATTTTACTATTAGTACATAGAGAAAGAGAATTAATACTATCTCAAATCAGGTGTTTATTTTGTACACAAAAATATTGATTGAAAAAAGTTGCATATTTCATGTTATTTTAATGGAATTTTTTTTCAAAAAAAAAAATTGATTTCACTCAATAGTGATGAAGAGTTCATAGTTATTAATTATGATTCTAATATGATGCGATTTTTATTCAAAATGGACATCATTAACAAAGCTAGTTTTGGCACATTTCACCATTTTTGTTCGAATTTTATGTGTTTGTGTGTAGGTGTGCATACATGGCGAACATCTAAAATTGTGATGATGAAAAAAAATGTTTCAAAAAAAATCCGTTAATTATTCAATATTGTGAATTATCATATGCGATGAAAAAAAACTAGAATATTTAATAATTTGTGCTTTGATTATTTTTTATATTCTCAAATCGATATAATAAGATGATTGATATTCGTTGAAATTATACGATAGTATTCGATGTTGATAAAAACGACGATAGTAATGAAACTATAAGGCATAAAAATATTACATTGATAATGCGAGGAGCATTGGCCATCAATGTGATGGCCGAATCTTTATTGCAACCATCCTTCGTACAACAATATATACAATCATCTTGTTTTGATGATTCACAATTAGATTTGAAGTTGGCGAAATTCCAATGTTGCAGACCACGTAAATGGCATGGAGCTAGAGCGCATTCTTTTTTGATATTTCTCCCATCCGAAGCTATTTAATCGACAAAAAAAATAACTTACTTTTCAATCGATAAAAGTGTGATACATACGATTTTTGAATAAGGTTGTCATACAACGATCATAAGCCTGATCGGCTGGACAATCTTGTAATTCACATTGTTCATTATCATTCGTATGGCATATGAAACATTTCAATGATTGAACTGGAGCGATGATGAAAGCTTAAATTGAATAAAAATTATTTCTTTTTTTGCTTCATTTAAATCAAATTTTACAAACCTAATAGAATGATGCAACTAAGAAAAATGTAATTAAAATTCATTGATGATGACATTATGTGTTGATAAAAATACATCTTGGTTGCGTAAAAATTTCCAATCGATATGAATTCGGATGATAAGATTGAACATTTAAGTCAATTAAGTTAGATTTTGGTATAACGGCTAATAGCGCAATCACGATTAACATGATTGTGTGACCGTAGTCGAAAAAAAATAAAAAGAATTTTTGTTATTCACACCGAGAGCATCTAAGATTCAACACCGGAAAACATATACGATGTGAATTATAAGTTAGCACCGAGCTCACAAATATTCTTTAGCTTTGATTATTACATTCTCAAACACAGTTATTATTATAATATACTGCCCGCATATAAGTATCAATGATGATGCTAGGTCGGGTCCCGACAAAGTGTAGCCAACTTTTGTCCAAATACCTTTTTTTTTGTATAAAGCAGCCCTAAGGTGATGTGAATACGAACATGCGCTTAAAAACTTTAAATCATAGCATCCATTGAAAATAATGCAATCGTGGAAGACGTAAATTTTCAAATGAATATTTTTCATGTTTCAGGGATGTCTATAGTTTTAGCAAATACTAAACTAACTATATATATTTTGCAGGTGCTGAATAAAACGGATGCTATATATATGAAAAATATTTCGAATCATACACATCCAACAATGAATCGATTTTAATATTGGAAAAAATTGCAAATTGAATTACAAATAGACAATTTTACTGTATTTATTATGAGTACAACTTTTCAGTAAACCAATAAATTCAAAATCCAGAATGGTGTTTAAAAACCAAGCCATAAACATTTCTTCATTATTTACTTGAGAATTTGCTGACAGATTTTTTTCCTCACAAAATTTCTCATACCAATCGGTCAGATTTACATTATTACCAGATTCTTTGTATAATTTATAAATTATATAAAAACTTGGATAGGAATTACCTAATGCAGCAGAATTTTTACCGGTTGGTTTTGCTAGAGCTTTATCGATATTTAAACGATAGGATAAATGATTTATGGGAAACATATCACAGAAAAGAGCATCGATTAAGCTTCTTTCGTCGTTGTTAAATTGGAAATCAGCTAATAATTGTTCCAAATTACAGATGAAGTTATTTTTCCATTGTTCATAATGTGATAAGTTTTGTTTAGCCATTGGTTTTAATGTACGTTTCCATTCATATCGAGAATTAATGTGACGTAATTTATCTTTAACCATTTCCACTTGACATTCGAGACCTAATTGTCGTATCGATTCCTTTTGTTTTTCTTGTTCCACTTTATCACGATTGATTAATTCATCAAGTTTAACAAGATGACTATCAATAGCTTTCCATAATGGATTATTATTCAAATGTTGGTTAGAGAATTTTAATTTTTCTAGTGCATTTTTTATACGATTTTGTGTTACATCGTAAAGTCGTTCTAGATGAAGATTTTCACCACATTTTTCACTGGATGTCTTGTTCGTGAAAAATTGTGAATAATGATAAGGAAATTGTTCGATTGGTATACTTAGATCGTTGAACAATTGTAAAATAATATTTAAACATTGCATTAATTGGGAATTTTTCTTCAATAATTCTTGATAACATTTCGACAAATTATTCATGTATTCATCATCAAATGGGATTTGTTGCAATGATCTAATGTTCAATGAATTTCGAAAACATAAAGTCAAATTGTCATCATTGTATGATTGAAAATTTGCATCGCATATAAGTGACAAAGGATTTTGATTATAATAATTAAAGACAATCAAATGCATTAAATTGCGAAAATTTTCAAATGAAAATTCTATTCGTTCGAAATTTTCTGAAAGTTTTTCGATCAAAGTTGGATGAAATTTTATCTGAAGATTATTATCCTGAATAATATCTATGAATAAAGATAGGATAGAAGATTTTCGAAAACCATCATCATCGATTCTAACGTATAAATGATCTATTGTATCCATTGGTAGATAATTATTAAGATTGGCATTAAATAGATTTTGTTTGAAGAATATAAATCCAAGCGGAACATCGCTGATGAATGACCTAATGATTGTAATGAATTTATTTAACAAATTCATATTGAATTTTTCAAATTCATAAACAACCACAATTAAATGTACACAGCCATTATGACCAGATTTGGTTAGCAATTCGAACACATCTTCAATGGTTTGCAATGTTTCTGTATTAAAATCATCATCAAAAACTTTTCGTTGGCTGAAAGTTCGTAGAAATTGCTGCAAAATATTACGCATTGAATCATGAGATGAATCAAGTTGAATGATGACCGTTGATTCGTTTTCGTAATTGGTATCATCAAGCATTGAACCAAGATCATGGATTAATTTCTTACATAATAATTGTGTATCTTTTCGATAATATCAATCGTTAGAGAGAATATTTTAAAAATTGATAATTACTTACTTAAAGTCATAATACTAGTAGGTATTTTTTTCATATTAAGTGATTGATCTCTATCAATCACTTCTGTTTTCACGAAATCACTTAGGAATCGTTCAAACAATGATTGAATTCGAGAGTCAATTTTTTGATCGATTTTGGCCCATTCTTTCAGGTAGATTTGCTTACGAGGCCATTCTACCGATGACAATAATGATGAGCTATTATTTTTGACAAGCTTTTTTCTTTTTGCCTTATCTTTTTTAATGTTTGGAGCATGGTATTCGCAATTTGCTAAATTATCATAAAAATCGGACATTTTGATTAATACTTATTGGATCAAAGTATTTTTCTAAAATTTTGGCGGGTTCAAACATGTGACTTGTCAATTCATAGATAATGTGTTGGACAAACATGTGTTTGAATTTTTTTTCATTGGATTTGTTCCAGGCAATTCATTTAATCAAATATGATATATAATCGAATTAATTTTTTTCACCAATATGCTGTTTAGAATGATGTGTTTTCATAGCTACCACTGCTACCAGGGCCAAAGATAAAATACTGTAAATTGAATCATTATTGGTGAATATACAATAGTACATGGATGGTGGAATCATAATTAAACGATGTCATTTATTCATCAACTATTTAATGTGACCTTTTCTGCTTTAAATGTTTATTTAAATGTATATGTTTGCATTATAAATTAAATAGAAATCGCTTATGTGATGAAAACATTGAATTTACTTCACACTCTTGAATAAATTGACATTCATTTGTCGTTTTTCCAAAAAAAAATTCCAGTATTTTTCTTGATTATTATCATTATTAAAACAGGCATAATATATGTTTATTTATCAATTGAAATTTTACCCAATATACACATATCTATCGATTGATCTTTTACATTCATTCGTGTTATAAAAGGAATCTCTACATTTAAACCAAATAAAATGTGAGTACATTGATCAAGCCTGTATAAATTTATTAGTTGCTGATTAATAATTTTGTATGCTACGTCGATCATCGATCAACTCAATTTTTTATGTATATTTTCATTTTTAATCAATAAAATTAACAGTTTGTTATAATGAACAAATGTTCGTTTGCAGCAATGCAGTTATTTTGATTTAATACTCTTTATTCGATAATCAATGATTTTGCTTCAAAAAATGAAAATAAAAATTGTTTAAATGTGGAACAATTTTATTTTGTATTAAATTGCAATCTGAACTTAACAACAATCAAAAACGCACAAAATCAAGCGAAATTGTCCTTTTTTTTCGTACAAATGATAAATAATCGTCATGTTTGTGTGTGATGTGATCAATTATGTTCGATTAGATTAGATTAAAAAATGTCAAGTGTTTATTCATGACAAACCAAATAAAGCCAAACCGCATTATAGCATATATTTCTGGTTTCATTATTATCAATCAATTATACAAGATTATTTTCATATTAAAATGTCCTATTGATTAATTTATCAATAATGGCTCATTTTGAATGGCCTCCATGTATATATTAGTGATGATGGGATAACTATTATCATTAGATCGGATTTAAAGATGATCAAATCAAAACATAAAAAATGAATTAAATATTTTTCTTTTCGAGTCTAAATCATTTGATCAATATAAGCTCATAAACTAGACAAACAGTATTTAAATAGGATCTGGCAAACCTGATCAAATCCTTGCGTTTTTTTTTCGTTAAAATAATCATCAAGTTATATCATCATAATTATCGATACCATAATTGGTTTAGCAAAAATGAATTTCTTAGCAAAAAATTATATGTCATTAAATGCAAAGGTGATACATGGGCTTTCCTGTGCTGAAAAATAAATTCAAACAACACTATTTTTTCTATATGTTTTACATGAAATAATTTTTTTTAAATTTTATTTTATCCTACACAGCCGACAATGAATCTGGATATGAATATTAATCGTTCCAATCGTCATCAACGTAAAATTAGTTCAACAACAGAATTCAAAGAGATAGCAAAAAAAGATTCTATAAATCAATTATCCACCGAATTAGATAAGTTAAGTTTAACCTGTAAAAATGAGGAGGAAAAAAAACATTTTCTGTCAGAAGCTCGTGGATTTAAAGATTTATTTGAAAAATTTATTGTTGGAAATGAAGCAATTGTTTGGGATAAAATTCAACCATTACCAGATGAAGCAGTTTGTCGTTATGGTACGTTGGATGATCCTCCTCCCGAAATAATTCGTGAAATGCTCAATCAACTGGTTGTTGTAAAATTAAATGGTGGTCTTGGAACATCGATGGGCTGTACGGGCCCGAAATCTGTGATACCAGTTCGTAATGATTTAACATTCTTGGATCTAACAGTCCAACAAATCGAAAAGCTCAACAAAACCTATGATGCCGATGTGCCACTAGTCTTAATGAATTCGTTTAACACTCATGATGATACACAGAAATTGCTTCGTAAATATGCAGGTTTTCGTGTGGCCATTTTTACATTCATGCAAAGTCGATATCCACGCATCAATAAGGAGACGCTTATGCCCATCTCTACGTCATTGAATTCAAATCCAGAAGATTGGTATCCACCTGGCCATGGAGATTTTTACCAATCATTCTTTGAATCTAACCTTCTGGATGATTTTCTAAAAGCTGGTACGCAATTTAAAACATAATTTATCAAAAACGACTTTGAATTTTCTTTTCAAATAATTTTTAGGTCGAAAATATGTATTCTTATCGAATATCGACAATCTCGGAGCTACGGTTGATCTGAAAATATTGAACTACTTGCTAAATCCATCCATTTCATCACCGCCAACCTATGTTATGGAAGTAACAGATAAAACTCATGCAGATGTCAAAGGTGGTACATTGATTCAATATGAAGGTCATATTCGTTTGTTAGAAATTGCTCAAGTTCCCAAAGCTCATGTAGAAGAATTTAAAAGCGTAAAAAAATTCAAAATATTCAACACGAATAATCTATGGATAAATTTGAATGAACTGAAAAGATTGGTCGATAGCAAAATGTTGAACATGGATATCATCGTCAATAATAAGCATTTGGATTGTGGTATAGACGTTATTCAATTGGAAACAGCAGTTGGTTCTGCAATGAAAACATTTAGCGGTGCTATTGGTGTCAATGTGCCGCGTAGTCGATTTTTACCAGTGAAAAAAACATCCGATTTATTGTTGGTGATGTCAAATCTTTATTCATTGAATGATGGTGCCTTGATTATGAATCCATTACGTTCATTCCCATCTGTGCCTTTAGTCAAACTTGGTGATTCACATTTTACAAAAGTTCGAGATTTTATTTCCCGTTTTGCTAGCATACCAGACATGGTTGAACTTATTCATTTGACTGTCAGTGGTGATGTGACTTTCGGATCTAAAGTTGTTTTAAAAGGTAAATGCTTACTCCTTTCTAACCGTGTTTAAATCTTTATTTTTTTTTCTTTAGGAACCGTGATCATTATTGCTAATCATGGCGAACGAATTGATATTCCATCCGGTGCCATACTCGAGAACAAAATTGTTTCAGGCAATCTTCGTATTCTTGATCATTAAATTCTTAGTCATTTTAAACATTCAACATAAATTTGCTATATTTGTAACTTTTTTAATTGATATCTTATCAAATTATATGATTATCCATTGAAATAAAAAGAATTCAATCTTTCTATAAAAGTGTTCGATTATAGTGTCGAATGAATTTCCATGATCGACATATAATTCCATAAAATGATGACTTGTCCAATTCATTTCATCCATGTCATTATTGGCTGGATTTTGATGAAATTTGATATAACGATTTTGTTCTTCCAATGTCAGACTTTTTATCAGTCTCATTGATTGACTGATTGGAAACATCTCTATTATAATAATAGTGGATTTTATAATTGGTTATTGAACAAGTAATATAATATGTATACCGTTTGAAGTTCCGTGTATGATGAGCAAATTTTTGTTTTCGAGCATTTTCCAATTTAATGTCATTTTTAGCAAATATTGTAAATCATTTGATCGTACCTTTTCCATATCAATATATTGTTCGGCCAAAAAACTATCTGTTGTAATTTAAGAAAAAAAAATCATTCAATAATTTCTTTTATTAGATTTACAATCATAATTACTTATTGTGTTCCAATCGGTAAATGGTGAAATGGCGATTCCACATTCGATCGATGAAGTGGATAATGAATTAAGTACAAAATAACCGCCAATATTATTACCAATGAGACAGGTTTGTGCAATATTGACAAATGTCATATTTGTGACAATAAAATCGATCAAGGTTGAATAATCTTCTAATAATTCCTCAAATGATAATTCGTGTAATGAATGATTACTATCTTGATAAAATTGTCCATCAAGCCATGCATAAATAAAATCATGTTCAGTGACCATATGTACAGCCCATTCTAGATCCGGATAGATACGTTTATAGAATGTACCCTGATTATTGATAGTTGCTTTCGGTAGATAATGATAGCGATAACGTGATGGATACATTTCAAGCAACAATGAATATTTGCCTATTTCTTCATGATCAAAATCGGTTGGTGTTAATAATTTGATTCGAAGATCTATCATCGAGAAAAATTATTTTATTAAGAATCTTATCACTTTGAGCTTACATTTGATTAAATTATCACTCTCACGAGTAAAAATAAAATTTTCAATATTGGGCATAATTTTTGATTGTACACGCGTTTCTAATTCGGAATTATCGTCGAATAACATAATATCTGCGTAATGAAAACCAAAATTCATTAGTTAATAACTTTTAATGTTTTGATACACACTTTCGATAAGATCCAGTTGATCAAGATCACCAAATTTGACAAGGTAAATTTTCGGTACGATTCCCACCAAACAGGTAACAATTGCATATTCAGATGATGGACTAAAGTAAACACGTTGGAAAATGCATGATTCTTCATCCGCATCATTCTCATTAATTGTAGCCGAATTGGCCAAATCAATGCAAACAGATTGGTTATTTCGATGTTTAGCCTCATAACATTTAACCAATTGACAGGTAATGCAATGTACAAGATTATGTTCCAGGTTGAAAACAAACAAATTAATGCGCATATCCTGTTCGGAAATTACTTTTTCTTCATCACCGTATGATGATTGATTCAATGATTGTCCAACAAAAAACACTGATTTCGAATGATTATTATAACCAAGTAATTCGATTATCTGATAATGCTGTCGTTGCTCAGTATAACGTTCAGCCACATTTAAATAGGAATTAATCACTTTTGTCTATGAGGCGAGAAATAATGATGTGGACACATCGAATCCAAGATTGAATCTTATCGACTACTTACTTTTACATTGAATGAATAAAGCTGATAAAATGTTTTCATTCCATTTTCTGGTGTTTGCCCACAGAAAAATAATTCACTACTGAATTCAGTGTTTAATGAAGATTCGGTTGATGCAGGCATTATACTATTAGGCACATGATTTATTCGAAGCCAATTTCTTAATGTGACAAGCTTAATTGAAATAAATTCGTTAGATTTACGATTTTTTTGTTATTCATTCACTTTGTACGATTAATTGTGTGCAAACGTGAATGAAAATTAATTACCTCTTCACATTTCCAATTGTTTCGTTCCAAACAGGAACCAAGAATTGTACGTTTTTGATCACGTAATGACCATAATACGATCAATTGATCGTTTGAAAGCCAATTCACGTGTACGACATAATGTGGCCACTGTTCAAGTTTATAAGGTGGTTGTACCCGCATAGCTTTTTCGTATTCATTTGTTTGTGCATTGATACGAATAATCCAAAGATTTACTATACCGATCGAACTGTTAATCTAGCAAGTTAATTTAAAAATAATGACCGATAGAAACGATTCATTTACAGAAAATAACTTACAGTAGAATAACGGTAATTGTTTGTGGAATAGCCGCCATTATCGTCATAAATGACTATATTCGATAACGGTACTTGACTATTATTCAACTGTAAATAGCTAAGATGATAATACCCGTTAACCGATGGTGACCACCATAATGATGATGGTTTTTCAAAAATAAAATCTCGATAAATATTATCATTGAATCCATTATAAATGGAATCGGAAATCGAACCATCCATTGTTATACGTCGTAACGGCGCCATAGATGATTCCATATTCAACCAATAGATGTCATTATCATGCATAATGAGCTGTTTTCGTTATCAAATCAATTAGGATATAAATTTTGGAATTACAATGTTGTTAATAGAAACATATTGCTCATTATTGTTTTGCTAATGAGACCTATCATTATTATTATGTTTTTGTTAGACAATTATTTTTGTTGATCACAATTGCAATTGTGTCGATTGTATATTAGTAAAATAGATTTTTAACACAAATCTTGATGTCCATTAAAAAAATCTTTGTCTTTCAAACTTGTTATTATATTATTCGAAATACAATTCATTAGGAAATAAGCGAAAAGCCGTTCATCAATCAAATTGAATGACGGAAATTCTTCAACATTTGAGCTAATGGAAATGGTCAGTTTATTCTTATTTCCATTTATTCTTTTTCTTTATTATTATCTATTGCTATTTAATTCAAATTGAAAAGTATTTCTTTATGCAAAAAAAAAACAAACATTTTATTTCATCAAAGTTAACACTTGATTGAACAAATCATGCTGATTGGCTTTTTTTTCCACAATGAATTGATTCATCATCAAATTCTAAATCCCATAAATATTTAAAAAAAACCTGACATAAAAGCTTTTAAGATGCTTAAAGCCTTGTCTTTTTTCTTTCCTGGATAAAATACAATTCCAACCAACAAAAAAAAATGTTTCAATTATTTGGCATTTTCAACAACAACAACAACCAAAATGCGAAAAAATTGCAAATTCAAATCGAACCCAGGAATTTTTTTTTCTTTCTCGCTTTTCAAAAAAAACTAAGAATTTCAAAACAAATAAATCAAACAAACCTTATCATAAATGTGAGGAACAAAGAAAAAAAAATCTGAATAATATATAAAAGAACATACCAAAATATTCCCCATTGGGTTCCATTGGGAACTTTGTATTATACATGATGATGATGATGATGATAGTGATGGAATTTGATGCTTTCCCTCTACAGAATTTGATGACAATCTTTTTGAATCTTTTCCATTGTTACTATTATTTTTTTGTTGCTGTGTCAGTAATAGTTTCAATTTTGAAATGAATTCCTCTTGAAGATTGATCATGTTTCTATTAGTGGGACGAACCAAAAAAAAAGAAAGGAAAGATAAAAAAGATAAAAATTGAAATTTGAAATGAAAATGCAATGCGTATCCGGTCGCGTCAGTTTGGCGGTATTTTTTAAATGAATGCATTTTCGCATTCGTTCGCAGTTTGTTATTATTATTTTGCGTGATCTATTTGTATTTATATTGAATTATAATTATAATGTCGTTTGTCGTTTGTTGTTGTTTTTTCCCGCCGTTATTTATTTTCATATGTAAAATGTAATTTGAATCATAAATAATAATTCTAATAGATTGCCAATTCGATATTTTATGATTATTATTATTATTATTATTATTTTGACTATAACCGTCAATAATTGAATCTAAAATATCATCATCTTGTTATTATCATTTCGGTAGCTATAAAGAAAAAAAAATTTTGAAATTCTAATTTATATCCACATTCATATAATAAGATTATTTATTGCATATTCAGCAGTAAAAAAAATTGAATAATAATTACATAATTCAAGAATTTGTTTACCATTTTTCAATTCTTGGCAAAAAAAAAATCAAAAAGCTAACAACATAATTGATAGTAAAAGCTAAAGTAAAATTATTCCATTCGTGTATAGTAAAACTAATGTGAGGCAAAAAAACAAAAAAAAAAGAAAAGAAAAATTACACATGCAGCAAAAAAAAAATAAAGAAAAATTCCAACATTTTCTTTCTAAGATTTTATTTTTTATTTCTGTAATTGAATGTGAATGTATCACCTTTAAGTTTCCAGGAATGTTTTTTCTTTCTTCTTCTTATTCACACTTTCGAATGAATGAATTGAGAAAGAAGAAAAAGATAGGAATTCAACGTTATTATTATGTTATGGTTCATATATCTTTTGTCCATACATTTTCTGTTCTTTTTTACTGTTATCCAATGAAAATGTGTAATGTGTTCTGTTCTCTCAATTAAGCTCAATTTTTTAGATTAGATTTGTTTTTTATTTCATTTCATTTAATTTTCTTTATGTTTTTTTTTGTCGTAGTTTATATTATAACGATTCAATTTTTGGTGACATTACCATCATTCTGTGTAATAATTACTATTTTCATAGCCATAATAATATGTAAATTTAGAGTGCAAACTTGAAAAAAAATGTTAACTTACTCATTATCTAAACGATAGATGTAATAATCCATTGATGGATCACATTCTAAATTTTCCTAAAATTTTTTTTGGTTTGTTGCAATTAAATTAAATTTTATATTTGGATAAAACAAATGTAAATTAAATGGATTCATGTATCGACTTACTCGTTTAGCTGAATTAAATTTTTTCGTAACAATCAACATATAAAGCCTTGATGATGATATTTCGAAATGAACAATTTCACCGTTTGTCTTTATTGAAATTTTTTGTTAAAATAAGGTTAAATAAAACGAAAACAAAAGACAATGAATGAATTAATGTTTTTTTTTCAGTGTGACAATACAAACTGTATTAAGTTTCGTTGTTATTGGTCGACTTTGTCCATTTTGGCAATCGTATAACATAATGTTTTTGTCATCCGAAGAATAAATGAATTCATGAGCTTCATTTGATTTGTTTTTTGTTTGTTTAGATTTATTCCAACCAGTCATGGCAAATAAATTATTTATCAAAAAAGAAATATAATGATTTTCATTTCAACTAATCAGACCGATTGATTTGATACAACAATATTTACCTGAAATCCATGTTCCATTAAAACGATGTGCTTGCATAATTTTTTTACTCAACACTTCGGTCAAAGTGTATGGTTCAGTTCTTTGACCTGAATTTCGTGCTATTCATTTGATTGTTTTATAAGAAACAAAATGATAAAAATCAATTTGCACAAAAAAAAACAAATTATTCAAATGTTACATACAAGGTGTTAAAATAAATATTGCCGTTATGATTATGAAACATATGACCGATATAACAGCGGATGCAATACCTAAACTTTTCCAATGTTTTTCATTATCGATTCCATCTTCAAGTTCTTGCTTTTATTTCGAATTCGAACAAAAAAAATAAGAAAATTCAGTTATTTAATAAGATTTCAATTCAAAAAATTTTGAACATCATCATGTGTGAAATAAATGTATCTTGCCCTCTGAAATATTAGCTTCACTGCCATGAATTTTTTTTTCATCTTTTTTTATTTCGATGTTTTATTTTAGCCTATTTTTCTCTCGGTGGTATACCCCACACACATTTCGTGACTTTTGGTCATTCACCTTGTAGTGGATTTTTTTTTACAAATAGTTATTCTTTAATCATTTGTCCACTAGGTTATTGTTGTCTAATTTTTCTTTTCCTGTCTTTCTATCGCACGTTTTTTTTATTTCATTTCAAGTTCTTATTATTTCGAGTTTCTACTGTAGATTCTTTTTTTAAATAAATAACATTACAGTTTTATAAATAGATTGTTTTTCTGTGTGTGTGTGTGTGTGTGAATCAAATTGAACAATCACATGCCACAAAACAAATCGAATTAAATTGCGTATACGATTGATGATAATATTGATTGTGAATGAAATAAAATGAAAAAACGGAATGGAAAATAAAAAAGTCTTGAGGCCATATTATTGATATTATTATTATTGATCGTCACCAATATCATAGTGATTGTTTTTATACAATTTTTCGCTTTATATAATATTAAACATCTCTTATTTATGATTGCCAAGAATAAAAAAATTGATCTTATTCTACAGTTTTTTCAATGTGTGTGGGAGGTGTATGTGTAGATTAAATCGACAACAATGATTACTAATAATAGAAAATTGTTAGGAAAATAATACCATTATTGCCTATTGAAATTATTGCTCACTTAAGTAACAGTGTTTTTTGGCCCGAAAATTGATTCTTATTCTATCCACACACAAAAAAAACGAAAAGAAATTTTTTTCCTGATGTTCATGGTCATCATCATTGATTAGTTGTGTAATGTTCAATCGTAATGTTAATTATGATTGAATTCAAAGATTCAATTTACGCGACATCAACAAAAAAAAAATAGTGGGCATTAACCAAAACACAGAATGAATTCACAAAATTTCATACAAAGAATAATGGCCAAAAATGAAATGTTATGATGAAAAGAAGTAGGTTAAATATAAAGAAACATTTTTTTTTTCAAATAGAATTTTTCAGACAAAAAAAAATGAAAAAATAAAAATTCGATTAAATCTGATCGACAGTTATTATTATTATTTGTGTTGAATGGAATCGAGTTTTTTCGTTGTTGTTGCTGAAATGAATCGATGTCAAACATTTTTTTTTTTTTTTTTTTTTTTTTTAAAAAAAAAAAATTTTTTTTTAAATTTTTAATTTTCCAAAAAAAAAAAAAAAAAATTAA